CTCATCTCATTTAATCTTTACAACTAATGCTATCATCATCCACATTTACAGTTGATAAAAATGAGACTCAGAGAGGTTAAGTCATCTGTCCAAAATCACACAGTTAAGTCAGTGGCAGAGCTAAAATTTGAGTCTATACCCCAAAAGGAGTAGATAGCTCCAGAGTTTGGAGGGAAACCCTGGCTAGGGATAGGCAGGAATATGAGGGAGAACCCCAGCCACCCAGCACCCCAGCCCTCAGGCAGGCTCCCTCTGCACTCTTCCAGCCCTAGTCCCAGCTTTCTCTGCCAAGGTGCTGGGGATAATGAATGAGATGCTCTGGTTGCCATGGAGATGCCATGGCAATGCTACACTTCGGGAAATACCACGGTAACCGTGGCCACTGCTCTAGAGTTGAAAGTCACTCCTTATCCTACCCCCCACCTGAAAATGCTCTGGTTCCCTGCAATCCTCCCCAGGACCCATAGAGTAAAGGAGCTGAAGTACAAGGACTTTACAGAGCAAGCAAGCAAGTGGTTGAGACTGGGATGAGGAAAGGGGTCCCACCTGGGCCCTAGATGATCGGATGGGCTCCAGGAGCTCCCAGAGAGCAAGCAGAGAGTCTGAGCCTGCAGTTTCTTTCGCAGTAAAGTGTGTCCACTAACCCAACTCACATAGTGCCTATGTAACTTACTGCCTACTATGTAAGGTCAGCCTATAGCAGACCTCGTGGGAAGGGCAGTGTGCATCACACTGTCTCACCCGAGCGGTGGCAGCCAGCATCACAGTTATAGACTCAGACCGAAGCCAGCCTGCCTGGGCATGAATCATGGCTCCATTACTTATTAGCCCTGTGACCTTTGAGCAAATTTCTCAACCTCTCTGAGTCCCAGTTTGCCTCGTTTTAATACAGGGTTTATACTACTGAATTATCTCACAGGGCTGCCACCAAATCAAAGAGAGATGTGTGTCGGACACTGAGCTCAGTGCTTGGCACATGTAAGATAACCTAATAAAATGATTACCCATTAACATATTTGGAAACTGAGGCTCAGGAAGAAACTGGTCCAAACCATATACCCAAATTAATGGCAGGTAAAGAAAAAGAGAAGAAGGGAGGTCAGGCTGAAACCAGGAAAGAACAAGAGAATGGGCTCCAGGAAGAAGTGAAATGTTGGAGATCACACTGCAAGCTGGGAACAAGCAAATGATCTGCTCCCTAGTCCTTACTCGGTATTTATTGAGCAGCAGTAGGTACAAACACAGAAGTAGGCACTGAAAATGCAGTGGCCACCAAGACCTTCCTGCAATGGTCTGTAGAGGTCTTTGGGCTCCAAAAGTTTTAGGTCTCTGGGTGATGCTGCTGCAGGGTGAATGGGGCAGGTCCCTACATCCCCAAGTGCTCACCCAGCTCACATTCTATTTCCAGTCTGATCCTTCCTGACCATGCCCTCTGCAGGCCACCCTTCCTCCTCACACATGCTGCGCTCACATGCATGTGAAGGCATAGGCAAACTCACAGGCTACTGACAGGTTCAAACGGTGTTATCACAGGAGTCAAGGACAGGACTGGGAGGTAGCTGATAGGAGGCCGGTGCAGGAAGAGCCCTGCAAGCAGCCTCAAAAGTATGTGAATGGGCATCCAGGCTTGGGCAGGGATTCAAGCAGGGGAGGAGGCAGTGGCTTGGCGGCTGCAGGCCCAGTAACTGGAAGCCCCACAGGCACACAGGGCCACTCCCCACAGCTGATCCAGCCCCTCCCAGCCTGTCACACCCCCGGCAGAGTCATACCACCCACCTACTCAAGTCACACCCACAGCTGCCCAGCCCCACCAGCCACCCTGCCACAGCCCGCCCCACCCACTAGATCCAGCCAGAGCAGCAAGGAAAATCCTCCACATTTGCTTCCCAGCTGTGAGGGAATTTCTCCAGTGCAAGCAATCACACCCCTGGGAGGCTGAGACCAGAAGCAAATCCCTTCCTCTGCTGGAATTCTCTGCACACCCCATCCCCCCACCCCTGCAGTGCCACTTGGCCCAGGGCCAAGCTGTGGCCTGTCAGTCAGTCAGTCTGTCTAGGTTAGCTACATCAAGGGAGGGGCTGTTGGAAGTCTGGCTCAGAGTCACAGGGCCACAGAGAGCACAGTCCACCTTACAAAAAGCACTTGGGGACAATGGGGCCTGGAGAGGGGTAAGGCCCCCTTGCCCTTGCACCAGGCAGGCCAGACCTACTCCCACCTACTGTGGTCCATTTTCTTGTCACTAGAATACTATCCCTCCTCCTCTAAAACCAGACTCAGCAGGGACTTGGGCTCTGCCAGTTGTATATTTCAAAAGTCCTAGTTGAGGTCTCCTTCTCTCTGTCCCACCATTCAATGCCAGGTGTCAGCTGCTCTCACAATTAGAACGACTAGAATGTTGGTCTCCCAACTTCACCAGACATTTCCCAAGGCACACATGGTCTCCTACCCATAGTAGGCGCTCAAGAGTGACGTGCCCTTGCCAATTACATTCCCTTTATGAATCTGCTACAAGGCTGCCCCAACCTAAATGCACTACTGTTAGCTTCCGCTTACAAGACATGCTGTATCTCTACTACATGCTGCTATTTCCCCTTTACCATAGCACCATGACCTATATTTCCATTTTACAGATGAGGAATTGACGTCCACAGAGAGCCTGTGACTTGCCCCACCCCACAGAACTAATGAGTGGGCAAATGTGAATTTCTTCCATCCCTCAGCTCCATAGCTTCTCTGTGTTCAGCTAACACAGCTGACACTGGCAGGTGTAACTCACATATCCCATTCTCTGCTCCCTTCGAATAGTTCTGTTTTGGTTTTCATCCACTTTATGTGTGTTTTAACATCACAGCAGCCTCCAGTGGAAGCAGCCCCATGAATCATCCATCAATCAACAAGCAAACAAAGCATAAAGCGCTGGTTCACTCCCTGGTTCTCAACTTGGGAACTGGGTCTGGGACCTGGCAGGGAAGGCCAAATAGAAAACCTCGGGAACTTAGACCTCACTTGTTGAGAATTTGTCTTTCTTCCAACAGGGCTTGAGTGGAGAGTTTACCTTTGTACCAGCTCTGAAGAAAAGGTTTACCCAGCAAACAAACTAGACAACCTAGGGGGAGCGGGCTGTGTGGGGACAAGGCAGGTGAGGGACCAGCTGCCCTCCAGTCCCAAGGACAAGCTCCCCCAATCCCACTGAGCTCCTAATACAGATCAAAGCTGTCAGACCTGCCACAGGGAATGCCATTCAGTGGTCCATGAAGCTTCCCAATATAGGGTTCCTCTTTCCACCCAAATACCAAGTCTACCTACAACAGTCAAATCCATTCCAAAGTACTTTTCTCAAGCTCAGATCACAAAGAAAAGGAACAAAACATTTCCCTCCAAATACCATAACCTCCCTTGCTGACACTGGCCAACCCTGAACAAGCTCTTGCTATCTCAACTGGAGCTATGTTAGAAGCTTTCCCTGCTTTACCACTCAACTCCCCCAAGGCAAGAGGTGATGTCACTGCCATATGCAGTTTATAGAAAAGGAAAGGAGGCGCAGAGAGGGCAAGTAGCCAACTCAAAGTCACATAGCTGAGCAGAGCTGGGGCTAGGATGCCCCTTCCTTGGAGCCCCTGTTCATCACCCCTATACAGTCCTGCTGCCTGGCATTTAATACCATCCCCGAGGCGTGTCTGCTGCCCAGGACAGAAGCTTCCTGCAGGTGACCAGCCCCAGGGCTGCCAACCTGGCTTCTCTAGCAATGGCAAATTTTGGCCTCCTGGGAAAGCCTACACTGACAGAGTGGGGCACTGGGGTCCCCAGAAAGGCATTACTTCAGCCAGAGGGAGCCCACATAAGAAAGGGAGGTCCACTGTCCCATGGAGAAGGTTCATGCTAAAGAAGAAAGAGGCGGGAGTGAGGGCCAGAGCAGGAGACCTCAGCTAGCAGGCACAGCACAAAGGACAATGGTGACCAACATGCCTCACACACGGGCTTGGCCCATGCCAGGCACTATCCCAAGCACTCCTCAATCCTTACCTCATTTATTTGTCATTTATTCCTAATGAAATAAAAACAATCATATGTATCCCGCCCTGAGCTTCTCCCCATCTGCCTCCTCTGTGGAGGACTGGGAAATACTGGTCACCAGCAGCCCTACCCTCTCACATGCTCAACTGAGAGGCCACAGATGCCCCCCGAGAGATCCCAAGAAGCAGGCACATTCAGGGGCCTCCTCCTCGTGGATGCCAGAGCCAAAGCCACATGGGCCTGGAATCCACAGCCTCCTGGGCCCTTCCCAGGCTCTGAGCACTCAGACAATGGGAGGGAAGGGTTCCCCCTGAGTGAGCCCTGCCCCCTCACTCCATGTGTATAAGACCCTTCCTGGTCTATTTCTCAACTGCACAACACAGATGTGTGTGACCCCGGGGGGAGGGGGGTGTTACAGAATGCTTTGAGAATCTAGTGACAACTGTTAATAGACTCTCTCCCCAGATACACCAAATTCAGGGTGGCTGGGAACAGCCCCTACCAAAGCCAAGCTAAGAACATGGAAACTCTTCAGGGGTGCCTCTGGCTTTGACAAGCTATGATTCTCACAGTCCAGAACATCTGAGCACTCTGGGACCTCACCATTCCAGCTTCCCCTGTGGCCCTGAAGTAAACCTTTAACTCCTGGACCTGTTGGCTTTAGGTGGATTTGTGGACTTGCCCAGCTGTTGGAGAAGCCACAAGAGAAACAGAGCCCTTGCTCCCGCAGCCGCCGCCTCCTCCTCCTCTATCAGCAATTGGCCAGGTCAGTTCTGAGCCCTCTCCCTGGGGCAGCCGAGCACTGGGACACTTGAGGAGCCACCTATGAGCATAGACAGGACCCGGCACCAGGTCCCTCCTGGATAAGCAAGTGCAAACACACGCTGCAAGTGCACACACACTCAGACCTGGAAGGACTGGACAGGGCAGGGCACCAGGGACAATGATCAGAGGGACAGGAGCCAGGGAGAGCAAAGCAGACCCACCGGAGCTCAGGAGGTGGCTATGTGACTCCTCTTCCTCTTGTGTCCTGACGGCCGCACACTCCTCACTTACCACGGCTGCACCTAATCCCAGAGCCAGGACAAATGGCATTACTGTCAACCCAGTCCCCTCCCCCGGAGGGAGGGAAGAAAGCGGATGGGAGGGAGAGAGGGAGGGAGGTAGCCCTAGGGCACCCAGAGCCACCAACCACGTTTCCAGAAACCTCCAGCCCACCCCTACCCCACCCTGTCACCTCCTCCCTTGTCAGAGTGGCCAGCCCCTACAGCCTACCTCCTTGACCTCAGAAAGAGGATGTTTCCCCAATTATGCCCCATACCCAGGCAGGCCCCTGCATGGAGAGGCCCTCCCTGGCAGAGAAGCATGTCCCTGACCTCATGCCTGTGTCCTCTGTTCCCTCTCAAGACAAGTGGCAGCCAGAGTGCAGGGAACCCTCCCTGGCAATAAGGATAACAGGGTTCTGTTTCCAGCTCTGCCTGACTTCCTATGTGACCTTAGAGAAGGCCCTTCCCCCTCCAGACCTCAATGTCCCCACCTTTTCTGAGAAGAGCTGTCCTGATATGCCCAGCTGATAGCCTGATAGCTTTTGGCCCTGCCCCCACCCCAGCTGAGCTGTCAGGCCCTTCCCATTGCTCCACCCTGCAGAGGAGGAAGAAAGGTGACAGGCAAGGTGTGGAGAGTGTTAGAATCCATGCCGGAGCACTGAAATGCTAAAGCAGAACAGGGCCTAAAGCTGAGGCCCAGAAAAGAGCAGCTTGGCCTGACACACAGTAAGCTGGAAAGGAGCCAGGCCAGCCTGGGTTGTGTCTTAAAGGCCATACTCAAGAGATGGCCACCTGGGACACAATTATAAGAGAGACTTTACTGGCTTGGCACCTGCCACATACACTGAGGGTGGTAGGTTCAAACCTGGCCCGGGCCAGTTAAACAACAATGACAACTACAACAAAAAAATAGCTGGGCATTGTGGTGGGTTGCCTATGGTCCCAGCTACTTGGGAGGCTGAAGCAAGAAGACTTTACCTAACAAATTCAATCAGTGTAACGTGATTCTTTATACCCTCAATGAATCCCAAATGATTTTTTAAGAAAGTGTCCACCTGAAAAGGCATTTGCCTTCTTAGAGGATGCCAAAGAAGCACAAGACAGCTAGTGGTACGATTTCAGGCCCCCCAAGAGCTGCAGGAGGAAAAAATAAGTGGTATGTTTAAACGTGTGGGGCTGAGGATAGAGACTGGGCTGGCTTTCCAGGCCCCTTGCATCACACCATGAAGGTGGCCAAGGGTCCTGCCAGCCCAAGGGAAACCCTAAGAGCTCCTTCCAGGGATAGCAGCTGTGGTCTCCTAAGAAGTCACCTGAGGCCCAGCAGGCAGGCCTAGCAGTTGTCACAGGAAGACTGGCTCAGGCAGACATCCCCAAGACTATCCCACTCCAGAAGATGCCAAAGGAAACTGAAAAGCCTTAAGGAAACTGAAAAGCCTTCAGGCTCCATGGCCAGAGACGAGGCAGGCAGGTGGGCTGGGGATGACATGGAGGAAGGAAAAAGCTTTGAGGCATTTGGAGCCACAGAAGTCCCCTAATCTCCTGGAGGCCTGGCAGGCATGACAAGGGGCCTGCTGAGACCAAGGGGCTTCACCAAAGCCCACATGAAAGCAGCCTGTTCCTCAATGGGACTTGTCACTATGACAGGAGCCTGCTGCCAACATGCCTGGGTATGAGGGGCTCTTCACACTTACATGGACATGCAGCTGGGAGCAGAAAGGGGGCAGGAGGGAGGTAGGCGAACAGGAGGGAGGTAGGCGAACAGGAGGGCCTCCCCTTCTCTAGAAACCCAGACAGCTAGAGAGCAGGACACAGCAAAAAGTGTCACATGACCACTTCAGGCTCCTTCCAAGGGCCCCACAGGCCTCAGTGAGATACTAGAACAGCAGTTCTCAACCTATGGGTTGCGACCCCTTTGTAACAATGAAAATACATCCTGCATATCAGATATTTACATTATGATTCATAACAATAGCAAAATTACAGTTACGAGGTAGCAACGAAAATAATTTTATGGTTGGGGGTCACCACAACATGAAGAACTGTATTAAAGGGTCATGGCAGTAGGAGGCATTAGGAACGTCGAGAACCACTGCCCTAGAAGATGCCTCACCAGGATCCTGAACAGTTCCTAGTGTCAGAAGACCAGAGTTCAAGTCCTAAATCAAGCACTAGCCCAGGTTCAGGCTCAGGTGAGGAAAGTGACGTGCCAGGGTACCACTGTGGTTGAAGAAGGTGCTCACTCCCTGTGGATGCAGCTGCCGTCAGCACCACAGCCCAGGCACCTCCTGACACCCCACCTAGATGGCCCACTGGCCTCTGCCACTCCCAGCTTGGCAGCAACCTGTCTGGGACCTCAGGCAAGCACCACTCATTTCTAGGCCTTGCTTTGTTCACATAAAATGGAATCACAGGCTCGGCGCCTGTGGCTCAAGTGGCTAAGGCGCCAGCCACATACACCTGAGCTAGCAAGTTCGAATCCAGTCCGGGCCCGCCAAACAATGACGGCTGCAACCAAAAAATAGCCGGGCGTTGTGGTGGGCACTATGGTCCCAGCTACTTGGGAGGCTGAGGCAGGAGACTTGCTTGAGCCCAGGAGTTGGAGGTTGCTGTGAGCTGTGATGCCACGGCACTCTACCCAGGGGGACAGCTTGAGGCTCTGTCTCAAAAAAAAAAAAAAAAAAAATGGAACCACAAAACTGGGTTTGGTGGCCTGCACCTGTAATCCCACTCATCAGATGGCTGATGTGAGAGGATCACTTGAGCCCAGGAGTTCAAAGTCCAGCCTGGGCAACATAGCGAGACTCCATCTTGAAAAAAAAGTAAAATGTATTTATTTTAATTTTCATTTTTTTTAGAGACAGGGTCTTGCTTTGTTACCCAGACTGAAGTTCAGTGGAACACTGAAGGTTAAAACTCCTGGGCTCAAGCATTCCTCCTGCTTTAGCAACCCAAAGAGCTGGGATTACAGGTATAAAATACCACAGCTTTTCCTTTTGGCCAGGTGCAGTGGTTCACACCTATAATCCCAGCCCTTTGGGAGGCTGAGGCAAGAGCATCACTTGAGGTCAGGAGTTTGAGACCAGCCTGGGTGACATAGTGAGACCCTATCTCTACAAAAGTAATAAGAAAAAAATTAGCCAGCCATGGTAGTGTGCATCTGCAGTCCCAGCTGCTCAGGAGGCTGAGGTGGGAGGATCACTTGAGTACAGGAATCTGAGGCTACAGTGAACTATGGTCAAGCCACTGCACTCCAGCCTAGGCAACAGAAACCCCATCTTAAAAAGTAAATAAATACAACAAAAAATGAATTAATTTAAAAAATGGAATTTGGGCGGCACCTATGGCTCAAAGGAGTAGAGCACCGGCCCCATATGCCAGAGGTGGCGGGTTGAAACCCAGCCCCGGCCAAAAAAAAAAAAATGTAAAAAATGGAATTGTATCTGAGTCACAGCACCAAAAAAAAAAGTAAAAATAAAAAATGGAACTGTGCCAGATGATCCCATGAACCGCCCCCAACTCTAAGCTGGGTGATTCTGTAGGGAGCATAACTAACCTCTAAAGCAAATCCCCAGAAACAGGCACAAAGGTCCCAACTCCTTGCCATGGATAAACCCATCTGTCACCATGTTCCACACAGAATGCACACTATACAATTACCCACACCACCATGTACTGGACCTTTTGCTAAATGCTGGGCCTCTACTTCATCAGAGCCTCATTTCACAGATGTCGAAACTGAGGTTCATGTAGGTTAAGCAACTTGAGAGTGCCTCGCTGAGATTCAAACCATCATATATCTGACTTTTTTTTTTTTTGTAGAGACAGAGTCTCACTTTATCGCCCTCAGTAGAGTGCCAAGGCGTCACACAGATCATAGCAACCTCCAACTCCTGGGCTTAGACGATTCTCCTGCCTCAGCCTCCCAAGTTGCTGGGACCACAGGTGCTGGCCACAACACCTGGCTATTTTTTTTTTTGGCTGGGGCTGGGTTTGAACCCACCACCTCCAGCATATGAGGCCAGCACACTACTCCTTTGAGCCACAGGCGCCACCCCCATATGTCTGACTGTTAATCCCCACACTCTCATAGCATCAGTCACAGATAACCCAAAACCTACCCAGGCCAGGAAAATGCTGTCAGCTCTTTACACCTCCTACACTTTCCAGCATATAATGCTGGGGCTAATGAGTAGGCAGGCTGGTGACCAGTCAGGAGCAGGTGGGGAAGGGGATGTCCGCGTGGGCACTGGGCATTCCACAGACCCACCAGCCACAAGCCCAGCCAGTTGTCCCGCACTGTGGTTACGATGCCCTCATTGCTATCAGCATACAACAGTCACCACTGGGTCATTTTTACATCAGTGCCCAGATCCAAAGCTTTTTCATAGGCATTGCTTTGGCATTACACGACAATTTATAGAAGTTTAGTGGGGATTTCTTCCCCCTTTCTCCGAAGAGGAAAGTGGGTTTCCCAGAAGATAAGTGACTTCCCAAGAAGCACACAAGGAGGCAGTGTCTAAAATGAACTTGGGGCCCACATTCTTTGCCTCTCTCCCTGTCCAGGGCTGGGACTGCTCCTCAATGCTCTCAACTTTCCAGGTCAACCAGCACATTAAGACAACAATGACCATCTTTGAGAATTTACTTGGCATCAGGTATCACACTCAGCACTTCACATATCATCTCATTTAACCATCCAGTATAAATTAAATACTGCATCTGTTTCCATTTCACAGACAGAGACATAGAGGCTCAGAAATGTCATATATCATGCCCAAGGTCTCCACATCAGAAGGGGCAGACCTGGCATGCAAACAAGCTCAGTATGCCACTGAGCCATGGACCTAAACTTCTGTGCTGGGCCAGGCGCACTGGCTCACAGCTGTAATCCCAGAGGCCAAGGCAGGCAGACTGCCTGAGCTCTTAAGTTCTAAACCAGCCTGAACTAGAGTGAGACCCCGTCTCTAAATATGGCTGGGCATTGTGGCAGGAGCCTACAATCCTAGCTACTCGGGAGGCTGAGGCAAGAAAATCACTTGAGCCCAAGAGTTTGAGGTTGCTGTGAGCTATGACAATATAGC